GAAATTTATTTCTAAATTCCTTAATTTCTGAAGTTAAATCACTGGTATGGCCCTCCAAAGTCTGAAATTTATTTCTAAATTCCTTAATTTCTGAAGTTAAATCACTGGTATGGCCCTCCAAAGTCTGAAATTTATTTCTAGATTCCTTAATTTCTGAAGTTAAATCTCTGGTATGGCCCTCCAAAGTCTGAAGTTTATCTCTAAATTCCTTAATTTCTGAAATTTTGTCTTGTAAAATCCGAATTTCATTGCCTTGTTTTTCATCTTTAAGTCTCTGTTTTACTAATTTCTCGACTTCACCTGTGTCCATTTTTCTAAATAAAAATAAAAATATAGTAAATTGGATCTTTAAAAAACATCTAACTTTATCAGTTTATTGATAAAATATTTCACTGTTTGTTTTTATTTCCTGTAGAGAAAAACTAAAAATGTAATCACTGTTTATATATACCTTTAGGTTTTATTTGAAGTGTTTGATTGTAAATTAATGAAAATGAAAATATCAATTTGCGTGAGAATATTGGGTTTTTTCACAGTAAAACCGTACTTAGGGTATATATATATTTCATATACAGTCAAACCTTCCTAAATGCAACACAACATAATACTAATAAAGGTTATACGTATCGATATTGTTGCAATTTTTTGTTAACCTTTTTTAGTATCGTTCGGGGTTAGTGTTCCGATCGGGTCGGGTTTTTTTCAGGTTGACCAGAACACTATTCGGGGTGTTACAAAAAGTCACAAGGTATTTTTATCCAATCAGATGCTCAGAATTGCCGACTCCACTTACCAGTAAACCATACTCTTCGTACTTCGTACCCAATTCCTGGTACTCTTTGTACTTCGTACTCCGTATTTTAGAAGCGAATTTTTCATGGGTTTTTTCCGCATTTTGATGGTTTGTTGCATTTCTTGGATGGTTCATTTAAACGCATTGATTATATTAAGTATATTATATACAGTAATATATTTTTTGCCAAAAAATTTGTAGTATGTACATTTATGAACACTTATGGACATGAATACTTGAACAAACAAATAGATTTGATTTAGGGCGTTCTCTAGCACCTCCTTCAATGGCATGAAAATAGGCTTCTAATTTAATGAATTACTGTATCTTACTCAGGGACGTGAAAGAATATCGATTTATATCGATCATATATAAAATGATATTCGGCTCAATGATTACCGACGTTTATCAATCAACCAGAAAACTGATGAAGTTACCAAATGGGCAGAGTTACCAGAAAATTTAAATGAAACTGATGAGAATGTGCCAGCATTTGCTCAAGGTCTTGATGATATAATTATAGTCAAGGTTAGAGATGGGAAAATCGAGGATTTTTGAATCTACTGCGCAGGCTGTGCAGCCTGCACGGGCCTGCATTACGGCTAATGCGGGCCAAATTTGTTAAATTTTGCGACATTCCGAAAAATTCCGGGCTTCCGAAAAATTCCGCCTGCGCAGTGTCCCATCTCTAGTCAAGGCCGCTTGTGGTTCAAATATAACATTGGCTTTATCTGATAAAGGTCAATTATATGCTACCGGAACATTTAGATTAATATTTTAATCATAATAATTTACATTTTAATTTTAAGGTTAATTGTGTAAATTTTATTTATAAAAATAATCTATATATGGACCCCACAGCAAAAAGTAGCATTGGGCCAACCAATCAGATTTTGAGATTTTATACCAGTTATTTGCTTATAAGGCTTGTCTATCTGAAAATAATTTTTTTTTACAAAAATATTAGTAAACTGTATTTATAGTTAATGTGTACATAATAAATATAATTAGGGTTAGGGTTAGTTTAGCGTTAGAGTAAGAGTAGTTTTATAGGTAAAATTGCCTCCTCAACATTTTTTATTAATGCACCAAGACAGGTTTAGACCGCCGTTTTTCATATTTTTGCGTTTTTTGATTTTTTGACTTCTTCGGGCTGATCCGTATAAACAAATTTCATGATTTTGATTGGTTGATCTACATATAAAAAGTCACGTGGGTACAAGGCTTTAGCGGACCCCTAAATTTATACAAAACATGGTTATCTGAATTTTTGATCATCCGAAGTTTTATATAAATTTGTACAAAACTTTGGATGATCGAAAATTCGAATGACCATGATATATACACAGTCATCCAAATTTTCGATCATCCAAAGTTTTGTACAAATTTATATAAAAAAATAAAAATTAAAAAATTTGTCAATTTTCCTTTTTTCTGTAGCACCTAGTCTATATATTCAACTATAATCAGACATCTCTAAATGCATAGCTATGAAGTAGCCAAAAATATTTGTGTTTAGAGAGGTATTGCATTTAGAGAAGTAAAAATCTATAAGTGTCATATGAATTAGGGACAAACAAGACCATGCATTTAGAGAAGTCTTTCATAGACTATGCATTTAGAGAATATGCATTTAGAGAGGTCTGACTGTACTTTTAATACTTTTAAACTAGATTTGAATATTGGACATATACCTGAATATAGTATAGATTTAATATGTTTAATTTTTAATTTTTAATTTTTTTTTAACTTTGATAGCTTTGCTGCTTATCTTTATTAAATGTTTAATATACATTTTTGTATACAATTTAGCTTAAGTTTTGATTTAACATCTTCAAGAGTGCCTAAAGGCAGTCTGCTATATTGGTTAGAATGTTATTTAACCTGGAAACTGTACTAATATGTTTAATTACTTATTTATAAATTAGATAAAAGTACATTAATAAATCACACTACTGGTGTTCAACATCACATTTCAATTTAACCAATTAGATTATTGTTCATCCAATTTTGTGTAATGCATATAGGTGGATTTGTTTCCATTCAAATATGTTATCTGAATTTGCATGTGATGTTCATGATACTAAAAATAGATTAACTAATAAAATTATAAAAACAAAGTCATGAGGATCTGCATGACCAATTAGATCAATTAAAAAATTTAATATGTAGATATTATTAGCAAAACTTTACATAGCAACACATTATTACTATACATATACTTTGGATTTATACAAATTGTGAATTAAATGATTTCATCATATATATCTATTATTTAAGGGTAGGGGTACTATATTAAAATGATATATAAACTTAATAGTAAATTTTTTTTATATTTAATTTTATAAAAAATTATACTAAGTAAACTAATATTAATTTATAAAAATGTTTGAAAAAGTTTGTAGAACAGGTCTTTCTGATTTTAATAATAGTAAAACATTAAATTTAATTAAAAACTTAGTAAGATATGACTTTTTAAAGATTAGATATAAAAATTATTAATTAAATTAACTTATAGGGTTACATAAATTAACCAATCAAATTTAGCAAATTTAGCAATCCTGTGCTACTTCAGAATTTTTTGAGCTGATCCAGAAAATTTTGTGATATATGCAAGTATATTTTTTTTAAATATAATTTGTTTGAAGCATAGCAGAGGACACTATATGTCTATGCAAAGTAAAAAATTGTTAGAATGTCCAGCCACATCATGTGATATATGACCAATCATGTTACAGTGATCAACAATCAATTAAATCTGGTAATACTCACTCTGGACATACAATGCTATGCATTTACCTAGTAATAGTTCATAATTTTACCATAATAAATAAATTATTTTATTTATATTTTGTAAAATTTTAATAAAAATTCGTTGTAATTTAAAAAAGTTTTATTAGTAGCATATGTTAATTTTACATGAAAATTTCAAAAAACATATAAAACTATATAAAAAATGATCTATGTACCCTTACCCTTAATTCAAGCATGTTATATTTATTTGTCTAATGATTTTACATAGTACAAGATATTAAAATCAGTATTATAAAAAATAAATCTCTTACTTATGCTAAATATTCTAATCATTCTTTACATCTTAATTATCTTTTTAATTAACAATTTCTAATATTTAATGCTTGTTATAATTTAAGATTGATAATCTTATTATAACAATATGCAAATACTATACTTAAATAAATTTTTTTAAAAAATAATTATCATAATTCTATGACTAATTCTACATAACAACCTTTGATATTGTTACTAGTAAAGTTTTGCCTATTTTGAGATCTTAAAAAACTATTTTGAGATCTTTGAAACTAAGATCTTGCTAAGTATAAATACGAATTTTCAAACTACTATTAAAGAAAAAAAGCAGAGGCTTCGTAAAAGTAAATAGTACTTTAATTATTATATTAATAAACAAACTTTTGACATTATTAAAGTAAAAGTTTCACTTATTTAGGATCTTAAAAAACTATTTTAGGATCTTTAAAACTAAGATCTTGTTGAGTATAAGTATAAATTTTCTAGCCACAATGTTAAAGAGAAAAAGTAGAGGCATCGTAAAAGTAAATAACACTTTAATTATTATATTAAAAAACAAACCTTTAACTTTGCTACTAGTAAAAGTTTTGCCTATTTTAGGATCTTAAAAAACTATTTTAGAATATTTGAAGCTAAAGTCTTGTTGTGCGTAAATACAAAATTTCATACTACAATAATAAAAAAAAAAGCAAAAGCATTATAAAAGTAAATAGTATCTGTGTTACTAATTACTATACAATGCTAAATATATTAACCAATCAATGCAAGACAAATTCGCAATAATCACAATTTTTACTAATTTAATTGGTACAAATTTTGAAGATCTTATTTGACAATATCATCAAAATCACAAAATTCACCCATATGAATTGATTGTAAACAAAGAGTATAAATAAAAATAAGTAAATAAAAAATAAAATTTTGAAATATTTTAAGAAAAATTAAAATATTTTAAATTTTTTTTTGTAATTACATGTTAAATTTTATGCTAAACAATTTTACTTAGAAGCCAAAGGATAATTTACTTAGTAAAATTTTGAGATATAATCAAAAAAACTAAAGAAAAAAATAAAAAATTATAAATATCATAAAATTTTACTAAAATAACTATATTTTGGCTTTTAAGAAAAAATTTTCAGCATAAAATTTTACTTACAATTACAATATTTTTTTTAAAAAAAAATTTATTAATATTATGAGTTATTATTAAAATAAAAAACCTGCTAACTTGCTATGTATTCTAAAAATGATTTACTAACTAACCAATTATGATCAAGTGATTTTTGTACACTATAGCTGATAGGTGTAATTTATACTTATTATTGGCTGCCAAATTTAAATATAATAACCCGAGTTCTTCATTTTTTTGCACCTCAAGTTTTCCTTTCAAGTAAATACCTCCTAAATAATACATTGCTTCAACATTTTTATTATTAGCTGCTAACTTAAGAAAATGCAAAATTTGTTCATAATTTTTTTGCTTAGTATCGTAATCATCATCATCTTTAAGATTAGAAATTAATAAAATTGCATATCTATACTGTGCGTCATCCACCTTATATCTGTAAGGATGATCATTATCAGAAGCTTCTCTAAACAGTTCCATAGCACTTATTTGATCCTTTTCGAAATATCATCATAACCATTATATAAATAATATCCTTTCCAATATTTTGCTGATAGATTTTCGAGGTCTGCATTCTCTTTAAAGCATTTCCATGCATTTTTATAATCTTTTTTTTTATGAAGTTCAATTCCCTTTTCAAGATTCATTACTAAATTAAATGATGGTGTATCATCTTCCTCTCCATCGAAATTTAATTTTCCATTTTTTAACAGCATAGGTTCTTCCGGTAAAATTTTGTAACAATTAGCGAATTTTTCAAGTTTTCTATACAATTTTGTAATTTCTATTCTTTGTCGCGGTATTTTCTGCCATGCTATTTATTAATTAAGTAGAGAAAAAAGGCAAAATCGTTAATACTGTATAAAGCAGAAACAACTTGAAATTTATCTAATTAACCTTACTTTTTTCAATAATGTCTATAAATTTATTTTGAATTTGCTTATCATCAAGCTTATCAAATTTTCCATGCAATAGTTTTTCTTGTTTACCACTTAAAACATGCTCAGAAATTTTTACAAAGTCCAAATCTTTGTAAGGCAATCTTTCATAGCAAAGTTCCCAAATCAGCATATCAAAACTAATTACAAATATTAATTTTATTAGATTAAATTAATAATTTTATGTATTAGATTTAATGATAAATACCTAAATATCTCACAATTAAATGTATAAGTTTTTTCATTATATTTTCTTTGTTTATATTTTATAATTAGCTCAGGTGCCATCCAACGAATAATTTTTGTTTCTAAACCTGAAAGATCTTTAGTATCTGCATCTATCGCATGTGCATATTTAAAATTTCCAAGTTTTGGATCTAAGTTATGTTGTATCTGTAATTAAACTTGTTTAATTATCATTTAAATTAATAATGTTAATATGCATAATATATATTAATAGTACTTACTAAACCATTTTCACATCTGAGATCATGATGGAATATATTTACATGACGTAAATAAACAAGACCACGACAGATATCTCGAATAATTCTTATTTTTCTAGTCCAAGGAATATCATAAATGTTATAAAGATCTTTTAAAGATCCATATTCAGCCCAATCAAAAACCATAACTTTTAGGTTATCTACATGTGAGAGACCATAGAAACGGAGAATGTATGGTGAATCTAATTCTCCAAGTATCGCTAACTGATTTTGGGAATATTCGGATTTTTCGAAATCTTTGCATTCAACTTCAATTGTACGAGTAAGATATAGCTTAACAACTCCATCTTTTGGAGGTGGATCTTTTTGGGGTATATCGGCCAATTCATTTGGGCTAATACTTTTCACATCATTTGGCTATTTAGCTATTTGGGATTGTATATTATCCAATCTTTGATTTAATAAATCAAAATTTTGATTAGTATCATAAATGAAATTCTAAGGGTCTAAAATAATAAATGTATTAAGTAAATAACAAAAAAATTTAGCAAATAACTAAATAAATTTTCTATTATCGTCGGAATAATTCTACATACATCCTCAATTTCTTCTAGAGATTTATCGACTTTTTGAGACTCTTCTTTCCTAGCAGCAATGTCAATAGTAATAACAAATTGTAGATCTCTCATACAATCATCGTACACATTCGTTAATTTTTCATATTTATTTTTAACTTCGTTTGCATTAAGATATTTTTTATAGCCTTTAAATTTTGATACTCTTTCAGTAAATTCTTTGACATTTGTCATAACATTTTCAAATCGTTTAAATGCTATATAGTATCCTTTTTCTTCTTCATCTCTTAGATTGCCCATCTTTTCGATAGCATATTGTGCAACTTTTACTCGGTTTGTTATTATTAGACAAATTTCTTTATTGCATTCAGCATTTTCATAAATTTGATAAATTTCTTTAGCTATTATATTTATCGCATTTATTATAGGGCCGACTATAGGGAAATAGAGAGCCAATATTTCGGCAGTAGCTTCGACAGTGGAATTCATATTATAGTAAGGTAAATGCTAACGCTAAGGGACCATATGTACATACGTAGTAGTTCTAATATTACTGTATTAATACGTACATGTAACAGTTACTATTACACAAATAAACTATCTAATTACGTCAGTTGGTTCCTTCATAAATTCATGTTTCACTTAACGTTAGCCTAAAAATTAGAGTTTACAATATTATGAGCCATTATCAATCACAGCACATGTCAAATACGACTTAAAGCATCAAATAGTGTTTATGTTCAGGATACTTAGTCAGAAGAGACCATATAATTAAAAACACATATAAGACTACATTAGCGTTAGGCCATATCGATATCGATATAAATTTATATAATTGGTTTTCATATCCCGCCCGCATCGACAAAGTGAGGAGCACTTCCGGATCCAATAAAATTACAGGATCTTGTGTAACAAAACAAACGCGAAAACATAAGAAATTGTACATAACACAAAAATTTACTATTATAACTAACTTCCGATTTTTTTGGCCGGATGGATTGTAACACATCAATAATAATCAATACTAAGTATTACTAAGTAAAGTTACTATTTCCTGCATGAAGATGTCTTATGACAAGGTCATGGCTCCATCAAGCAAAGCCCGAAGAAATATCCCTCGGGCGCCATTAACATCTATATCTATTTTTATATTGCAATTTTTGCATTTGTATGTTTCTGATCTTCCAATATTCTGAATGTTTCCGCACCAACTACATGTCTTTGACGTGTAACTCTAGATGATGTTAATTCTTTTTTTCGAAAAGTTTTTGGATTCCCTTTCGAAGAAAACAAGCTTTCTAATGCATTTAAAGCTACTCAAAACGAAGAAGGATTTCTAACTGTAGAAGAATGGCCTACTTTTTTGAAAAAGTTTTACGGATTACACAAAGGATTGAAATCAAGTAAAAGAGTAAAAAAATAGAATTACTATATATTTTGCATAATAAAAATATTATCCCTTAAACTGTTTTCCAGGCAAATTTGCCTGGAATTTTCATATCACACGATAAACATACTGTACAGTACCAATCTAATAAATTTATTTATTTTTATCTGACTTATCTTTTTTTTATATTAGGATGGAGTTGTTGATGAAATTCTAAAAATTATTCAAATATATAAATTGTCTACTACCATACATGATTCATTGTATAGTAACATACTTCAAAATTCCCATGCAATAACAATTGTATCTCCCATAAAATAATCACTGTTTATTGGTGCAAATAAATAAAAGGCAATTTAATTTTGTAAAAAGGAATGCATAGCTTTTATTTTATGAATTTGCTTAAAAAAAATAATAATTCTTCGCCATTTCTATTTATTTTTTAATAATGAAAAGAACAAATCTTTTGGATTTTATTGTAAGAAAAAATTTTTTTTTAAGTTTGTATTTGTATTTTATTTATTTTATTGCTTAATTAAATATAATTATTAAATATATCCAATTGAAACAATTGGACGATGTCCGATTCCAACATTTATTTGAGAGAACTTATTAAAATTCTCTTAGTATAAAAAAAAATCAAGTTTTAAAATTCAAATAGTCTAAGAAAATTGACATTTTTCAATCTTACAAATATCTTCCTAAATTATTAACATCATGAATAATCAATTAAATAGTATAAATGTGAAGATGAAGACGAATCCATCATAATTACTTCTGAAATTTTAGAAGAAGCACAAATTTATTTAGAATGAGTCAAAAAAAAAAAACTTTATTACTAATAAATTTGTAATTCTATATTAATTTCCCAAAACAGGTACGTAAGATACAAAAATAAATGAGTCTATCATAAATTTTCTTTAAGACGAAAAAAAGAAAATATTTACTCTTTGATTAGCAAACTTTGTAACTTAGATATTAAACTTATCGTTTTATTATTATAATTCAATTTTACGCGACAATCACAATTAGTACATTTCTTTTCAACGTCAAATAATAATGATAAATTACAATGTGTACAATAATCATGAAAATGATGATTCTCTGTTCGTTCTTCGCACGTATAACAATAATCACCCGCTATAATTGGTACATTTCTTTTGATGACACAATTCTTATTAATATTACAACTGATGTAAGGACAATTGGCGCGTCTATGACCTTCCTCACTGCAATAATAACAATTTTTATTTCGTGAAGCACAACAGTTTTTATTTCGTGAAGCTAAAAAAGAAAACGGCAAAATGTTATAAATGTATTTTTAAAGAAGAACTACTCATAGTACTTACTATAATTTTTTCTTTTAGCAGTTTTATCAGAAATTATTATGTAGCATACTGAGAAAAGTCAAGTGACAGCCTGAGTCATATTTAGATAACTAAAACAGCTGAGTAAAAATATCTCATGTAAAAATGCAAAAAAAATTGTTTCTAAACGGTTTAACATTTTGACAACTAAATCCTCTAATTGTATAATACAATTAGCTAAAATGTATTAAATCGTATTGATTACTAGTTATTTTAAATTAAATTGTATACATACTGTACTGTATTGGATTACAAAAAATTAAATCGCATGAATGGTCATTACAAATATCAACAGACACAATAATTTTTAAACAATTTAAATCAAATTTGCAAAATAAAAATAATGCAATCGTTTGAACTATCTTATATTATTCTTACGAAGCATAAAAAATCTTAGATTATAATCCCACATACAATTGTTGATTCATAAATTTAATTATTAGTTAAAACATCATCGGTAATTAAATTTGTCATTTTTTCGTTATCTCTCTTGTTTTGATGAGCTTGCTCATAAATGTTCTAAATTGATAATGTCTCGTTCTAAATCCATTATTTTATTATTTGCCTTATCCATTCCTTCTGTGTTTCCATTACTTAAACAAGCATGATATATTTGTTCTTGTCTTCTTATAGCACTTCTAAAGGAACTAATCTGTTCATTTATTCTAGAACGCTCGCGGTCGATCTCTCTCTCTCTCTCTTCTCTCTCTTCTCTCTCTCTCTCTCTCTCTTTCTCCTCTCTCTCTCTCTTGGGAGAGTCTACGTTGGTTCTTGTGAAGAAAATGAAAACTGAGATGAACTTATGGACTATTGGTGTCTAAGGTTTATATTGTTATGTAAAAAGTTTAAGTTAAAATGGTTTGAAATAATAATTACATTCATTTCATTTATTTTTTCATCCCGTAATTCTTCGAGTTCATAGAGACCGTCAAATTCACTTCTTTTTTTGGGGTTATATTTATTGATCTCGTCTAGTAAACTTGTTATACTTTCAAGGCTAGGATAAGTTTCACCTAATATTTTATCAACCCTTTCAATTAAATCATCCTTCCAATCTTGTCTATTGTTCCATTGTCGCACTTTCGAACCAACAAGATAGGAGACACCCACTTCAATAATCATTTTCTTTTATATGAAGCACAGAGTATGTGGAGTAAGTATTTAGAACTTTAAATTCAAAATTTTATTTATTTAAAATTAAATATTACAACTCTAAACGTAATTCGCAAAATAGTATATCTTAAGCATTTAAATATTTCTTAGAATTTTCATGTCGTACTTAGTGCTGCATAGAAATTTCTTCAATGCGTCGTGAAATTTCCATAACAAAATTATAACAGGAACCGTCGATGTTACATTTTAATCCAACACCCCGTGTGTTCAATTCAGAAATAAAATTATTTATGTTAGGATTATTTTGTTTTTAACGTTATAGATATAATCCATCACTGTTGTGTAACTTTAACAGTTCCGAAATATGGACAATATGGATAATATGAACAATATGGATAATATGCATGGACAATATCGAACGACGATAAAAAATCTCCATTGTTTATAATGTCATGTAGTACGAGCAGACGAAAATCTGATATATGATTGGCACTGAAATATTGGAATTGGTCTGCTCGTGCTACATGAACGATTCCGCGATTTCTCCAATTGTTATGAAATAATGATAGCTGCGCGACATGCGATGACGCGCAGGACCAGTACGATCATGAATACCTCTGAGATTCTGGACACTTATCATTCACGTGAATTTGCATTTACCAATTATTCAGACATATGTGCATATGTTCGAATAATTTGGTAGTTCATTATTCTCTTCAAATTCTTTTGATATTTTCGAAGACAAATTTATTCAAAAAAACCTTCTTGATTTTTTCTATTGTATAACAATCGTGTCTTTTTGTAAAAAAGAATTACCTATTATTGAGCAATTTTGGTAAAAAAAAAAAGTACAATAATCAAATCATGCATTAAATTATGCGATGATTTGCTTGTTGCATGTATATTAATTCCAATTTGTAAATCAAGTAAAATAGCGGTTAAATAATTGACAATATATTCTATGTCCGGGCGTTTTTCGGGTATGAGATCCCAACAATTTTGGTATAGTTTTGTGTAACGAGGCGGAGTTCCTTCAACCGGTGTTTCTCTCGTTCCTTTAGAAACTTCGAGAAAAAGGTGTACTTGGTCTTGGATTGATTGTAATGGTGGTTTACCGCTCGATATTTCCCAGAAAATCATTCCAATACTATAGATATCTGATTTTTTTTAATGGCAACCGGAGGGTAAGTTTATTAATTATTAAATTTTCTTATAATTGATTTAATAATCAGAGTATCAGAGTATAATTCTATTTATTTCTCGGATTATAGGTTAAAAATTTCCTTGATATTTAATTTTGTATCACATTACATCTCAGAGTTACAGGATGTTTTTTATTATTCTAGATTTTAGGAATATTTTTTTTCTAGGATCCTTTTTTTTTTTAAGATTCATTTTTTTTTTTAGGATTTATTTTATTTTATTTAGGATTCGTTTATAACTTGTTACAATTTTTATTATGCATACCAATAAATTTTTAAATATGCTCATGAAAATTATATTTAATAAGTATTTGGTTCAACTTTAATCCTTGTTGTCATATAAAGAAAAAAATAGATTTTGTAGAAGTTTTTGAATTTGCAAAATTTTCCAAAGAATATTGTGATAAAGACCATTACGAGATAGTTATGGTTCTCCTAAAGTATCATAAATATGCATGTTTTGTAAATAGAAAGTATTACATACTATTTAAACTTAATTGCGATTTACAGTAATTATTTGGGCTGCCGTTAGTGATGGGACTAACAATACGAAAAATAGGTGATTCTTAATTGTCGTATTTATAACTTGAAATTTTAATTTTTAAGTCCCATTACCGTTACTATCTGTTATGTAAAATAAACCAGAAAAGAACTGCATTAATGACCTTTACCGATTTATCCGAGATAAAAGAATTAAAAGAATAATATTGGCCATCATTAGATTGGTAGGTTAGAATAACTTAAGTTATACAACCCTAATTTTAGTATAGGTATAATTAATTCGTAGCCCTGGTAAACATAATGTAGGTAGAATTAATTAGTAATTCTGGTAACCGTAAATTTGGTAGAATTTAATTAACGTTTAACTCGTGAACATAATTTTGGTAGAATTAACTCAAACTCTGGTAAACATAATGTGGTAGAATTAGCTCGTAACTCTGGTAAACATAATGTTGGTAGAATTAGCTCGTAACTCTGGTAAATATAAATTTGGTAGAACCGATTCGTTATAACAGATAATTAAGTCGTAACTCTGGTACCTTAAGGTAGAATTAATTCACAGCTCTGGTAAACATAATGTTGGTAGAATTAAATCGTAACTTTGTTAAACAAAACATATCTTGTAGAATTAATTCGTAACTCTGGAAGGAATAATTTTGGTAGAATTGATTCGTAACTCTGGTAAACATAATTTTGGTAAATATCAGATATAATTAATTCCTAACCTGGTAATGTTGGTTGAATTAATTTGTAACTCTGGTAAACACAATATTGGTAGAATTATTCGTAATTCTGGTAAACATAATTTTGTAAATCAAAACTCTCACATCAAATAATCTTTTTTAATTTCGAACTCATTTTATTCTCCTACGGCATCAAGATGCCGTCGGAGAACGAACTGAGTTTAAGATATGTTAACTTTTAATGAATTGTAATATTTTGAATCATAATATAACCAGACGAACCCTGATTCTTAAGTTACAGAAAGTGAAACATGAATTTATAAAGAACCATAAAATCAATTTTTTAAGTGTTTGCATAAACATCCTTTTATTTATCTTATTTATTTCTTTAAGTTAATTTTCTCGCCAACCCAATAGCACAATATAAAAAAATAAATGAGGCTTGATATTATGATGGTTTGCTTTACCCCATTTGGCCGTACGTACTTTTCATATCAGCACAAAAATAACAATCGTGTACGGTTCACGTATAATATACAATTAGATTATTATGGTAATAGTCAAGAAATTTATTAATGCATAATTGCCTGATTTCTTTATCTGTATTGTTGGGTTCATATTTATTTTAATATAATAATAATGTTGTTATCATTGAATTTTTTATAAAATCTAGGACCATAATACACTATTCTAGTACACATTCCCACGTTCCTGATTTCGCGCAACTAGGTTGCGCAGTTACTTATTAATAGTAATTCTTCATTGAGTTTCACCCCTCCAACGACGACAAATAACCCAACATATGACGACGAGGTAATATTACCTTGACCAAATCGGGCAGGTGGCTTTTTCTCAATGGGATCGGCGTTGTCACTCAATGAGGAACCTGGGGCTTGCCGCAGGGGGTCATCGTTCGATTATTCTGAGTCACGGGGTATCGTGGTACGACGGCTTTCTGTGGGATCTTGAGGTTTCAATTTTGCCCGTCACAATATGTAGTCTAGGAATCTGATGAGGCGCAAATTTTGTATCATAGAAGATCTTTCACCAAAAAGAGAAATGATCTGCGTTACACGAATTTGTAAAATTTAAATGTTACACAATGTCCAGTATCCAATGTCCGTGCCAACACTAGCTAAACAAATAGATAATCTGAAATAAAAAAACTAATATATTAAAATCTTAAGTATAAAAGATCATAAAGCGAGATAATATAACGATAATAAATGATCATTTGCACTGAATAAATCAAATAAAAAAACTTAATGTCATTAAAATCTTAAGTCATAAAAACAATTTATAATAATTGAATGATTTGTGTCATAAAAACAATTTATATAAAAATTTTTAATCAAAGTTTATAAGCAAGCAATACGTTTCATGGCTTTACCTAGAAGAAAAGAAGATGAAAAAGAATTTAGAGAAACTTCACGACAAACTATACTATTAGAAGACAGTTGTATACGTACTACGTATTGATTATGGGTTCATCAAAAGGTGGGGAATTGAAATATATATACATTTTTACATTGACATCGTTTAGCAGAATTTCTTATTTTGTGAGTAATACAAGTATAAAAAAGGAAATTTAGTATGAAAATGTAAAACAATTTATCAAACGATTGAAATTATCCTTCTGTATTACAAATTATGCATAACTGTTACAAGTTCTTTGGAGATAATACTTTGTTTGTAAATATAAATGACATTTTTATTGTCTTTTTAACGATCATTTATATTTTAAAGCAAACAAATATTACATTATCGTGCAAACTCTTATGATCATAGATTTTTTTCTTGTTGGATTTTTCAAATTCGTGTAACACAGATCATTTCTCCTTTTGGTAATTCTGTACCAATCATTGGCCGTGTTTTTAAATTGATTGTTTTTTTAGATATCAAAAAACGCTTTTAATCGATTTTAGAGTAACATTTTAATATATTGCAGATCAATTTCTATACAATTGAGTAACAGATCTGCATTTATATTATAAATCGATACTATATTTAAATTATTAACTTTATCATAGAAATCGAAGTTTCAATATAAAATAGGTAATATGAATAACCGCGGCTAAAGATAGCATAAATTAAGTCATTTAGAACAACCATATTAATTAATGCTTGGATTTGCCTTCGAAAGTTACGCAGGATGAATTGAAATATATTTACATATTTACATTTTCTAGTGCATCAAAGTTGTTTCAGATTAGAAGTTTGTATTACTCATGGGTGCATCCAAACAAAAACTGAATAATGAAAAATAGGTGTCTAAAGTTATCCTGAAACGTTTGAATTCGCAAAATTCCGAATAAACAGAATATTCTAAGTATTCTAATACTTAATACTCCGAACAATTTGAATAATTAGAATATTCTAATTAATTTGAGTAACATAATTTACATAAAATACCCCTTAGCATATTTCCTTTTTTAGAAAAACTCCGGGTACTATGCATAGTTTATAATATAATCAATTTATAGCACCTCTCTATTATTGTATACGCTTCTATTACAGTACCCCCTTAGTATAGTACCCGGGTATAATTGATATTTTTTTATCCTCCGGTATTTTTACTCCACAAAATAAATTAATACGTCATTGAGAAATATAATTTCCCATTTTTAGGAATTGGTACAAGTTCTCCAAAAATGATAAAGTTTTATAAAATTAGTGACTTCGCATGTTTTGAATGCACAAATTAAAATATCTAATTTGAAAAATGTTGAATAAAGAAATTACATTACCAAAAAACGTCGTTCAAGTTTCTAAAGACCAGGTCAATATTAATTTACAACAATTAAGTTTAAGTGATGATAAATCACAACGTTTTGTTGAGAGTCTTTGTAATATTTATGAAGAAGGGATTAGAAAAGGAAGAAACTCGAATTCAATTCTAAACTCAATTGACAAATTCTTAATAAAAAATACTTATAAACAAGAGGATGTAATAAACTTCTGTTTACACAACCAAACTAATCCAATTGTCCAATACATTCTTGCAAGTTTCTATCATTTTGGTAAATGGGTAGAAAAAGATAAATCTAAAGCATTTTTTTATTATAAAAAATCTGCTGAATTAGGAAATCGTAAAGGAACATTCCAAATTGGTTATTGTTACCAAAATGGAATTGGAATTGAAAAAAACGAAAATAATGCGTTTATTTATTATAAAAAATTATCAGATATGGATGATTATGAGGGGTTGCTTCAAGTTGGACATTGCTATAAAAATGGAATTGGGATTAAAAAAGATGAACATAAAGCATTTGAAATTTATAAAAAATTAGCTGATGTAGGCCATGCTATCGGAACATATAATCTTGGTATTTGTTATCTTCATGGCATAGGAGTTAAAAAGGATGAACATCAAGCATTCACTTATTATCAAAAATCTTCTGAGATGGGGCATGCAGGTGGCACATATAATCTTGCCTATTGCTATCGAAATGGATTTGGTGTTAATAAAGATGAGTGTATGGCATTTGTTTATTATCAGAAATCTGCAAAAATGGGATATGAAACTGGAATTTATAATACTGGTGATTGCTTTAAATATGGAATCGGCGTTGAAAAAGATGAACATAAAGCATTTATTTATTTTGAAAAAGCAGCCAATAGGGGGCATGCAGGTGGATTAAATAGTCTTGGTGATTATTATCGATATGGAATTGAAAGGAATGAGCATAATGCATTTATTTGTTATAAAGAAGCAGCTGATATGGGTCATGCAGATGGATTAAATAACCTTGGTCATTGTTATCGATATGGAATTGGGATTGAAAAGAATAATCACAAAGCCTTTAGTTGTCATCAAGAATCCGCTGAAAGAGGGTGTATCAATGGAATATATGATCTTGGTTATTGTTTTCAAAATGGGATTGGCGTTGAAAAAGATGATCACAAAGCATTTATTAATTATCAAAAATCCGCCGATATGTTGCATGCTGGTGGAATATTCCAAGTCGGTCATTGTTATCAGCATGGAATTGGTGTCAAAAAGGACGATCATATGGCATTCAATTATTATCAAACATCTGCTAATGTGGAGAATTTAAGTGGAATATTCCAAGTTGGTTATTGTTATCACAATGAAGTTGGTGTCGAAAAAGATGAACACAAAGCATTTGATTATTATAACAAATCTGCTGAGATGGGATATTCTGATGGAATATTTCAAGTTGGTTATTGTTATGAAAATGGAATTGGTGTTGAAAAGAACAACAATAAAGCGTTTTTTCATTATAAAAAGTCTGCTGAGATGGGGCATGGAGGTGGAATTGTTAGAAGTGGTTATTGCCATCAAAACGGAATTGGGACTAAAAAGGATGAGGATAAAGCATTCGAATATTATCAAAAACACGCCAACATGGGAGATATTAATGGAATATTTCAAGTTGGTATCTGCCATCAAAATGGTATTGGCGTTAAAAAAGACGAAAACAAAGCATTCCTCTATTATAAAAAGTCTGCTGATTTGGGAAGCATTGATGGAATAACTCAAGTTACTCATTGTTATAAATATGGAATTGGTATTGAAAAAAATGAGAAAGAGGCATCTATATATTATAAAAGGATATTTTCTATAGAGCAGATTAATGATCCTAGTCATTGCTGCCAATATGGTTCTGGAAAGGATGCATATAAAGTATTTACTCATAATGACAATGTAGATTCAGAAGATGTTGATGAATTAAATAGCTTAGGTAATTGTTATCGATATGGCATTGAAAAGGATGGACATAAAGCATTTAAGTATTATAGCAAAGCATCTAAAGCATCTAAAAAAGAGCATTCTGGTGGAGTTAATAATCTTGGTCATTGTTATAGATATGGAATTGGTGTTAAAAAGAATTATAATAAAGCATTTACATATTATAAAAAAGCAGCCGAGATGGGGCATGTTAACGGAATATATAATGTTGCTGATTGTTATCGAAATGGAATAGGAGTGACAAGAGACTTGGAAAAAGCTAACGAATGGCATCATAAGTGAGTAAATGAATTTTTATCGCGTTGTATTTAAATTACCATTTGTTAACATAATCAAATAATCTGATATAGAAACACATTATCAGGTAATTTAATTGTTTTATTTGAAAAATTCACGAATGCAAGTCTAATAAATTATTTTTAGTTACAAATAACTGGGGATACCAAAATTTTAGCATTGATGACGATATAAAAAAAATATTAAACGAAAATAGACAGTTGCAATGGATCCCTTACAATAAATTTAAAAATATCAAAGAGATGGAAAGTGGTGGTTCTGCAACTGTTTTTCATGCCCAATGGGAAGATAAAAAGATGAAAAGATTTGTGGCACTTAAACAGCTTAATGAATCAGAACATCGAGAGGAATTTATCAAAGAGGTAAATATTCATATAAAACTAACATATCATAATTACTATATTTAACCTTTTTTTTAAAAAAAAAATTGAAGTTAAAAGCATATTGCATTTGCCAAGAAGACCCCACCTTTTTGAAATGTTTTGGTGTATCAAAAGATGACAACTCTAAATGTTACGTTCTTGTTATGAGATATGAAAGATTGGGTTCTTTGCGTAAAAATCTTCGAGCTGTAGCACACATGCGGTGGGAAAAAAAATTGATTCTTTTACATTGTATAGCTTCAGATCTTAAAATAATTCATTCTCAAGGTCTTATTCATCGAGATTTACATAGTGGTAATATTTTACAGAATAAAATACATAGTGCTTACATTGCAGATTTGGGAAAATCAATGCCAGCTGATATGGCATTAAAAACCAAATCTGGTAAAATAGCTGGAATATTACCATATATTGCTCCAGAAGTTTTGAAAGGAGAGCCACATACGATGGCATCCGATGTTTACTCGTTTAGCATAATTATGTGGGAAATTTTACATGGAAAATCAATAACTACAGTTGAAGATTATAAACATGGCAGCAATACGGAATCAGACCTTATTAGGAAAATTGTTTATGAAGAATTAAGACCAAAAATTTCAAAATCTCAATATACAAATTTTATGAAAAGATGTTGGGAAAAAGAACCAGAAGATCGACCATCAGCAGATGAAATCTGTGAAACATTTAAAAAATGGCAAAATGACAGAGAATTTTTATTAGAACTTTCTGAAATAAATGTTCAAATAAGACCAATAAGACAATATATCGACCATGGAACTGATTCTTACGATATGATTCTGACGATATTATAATTTAATTTTGCCTGAAATTATTTTTTTAATTTTGCCCGGAATTTATAATTTAATTTGCCTGGAATTATATCGGAATAATTAATTTTAAAATTTATGCTTTAATACGCATGATATTCGATTTAGAAATATAAAACTAACCAACCAGGACATTCTTACACGTAATTTAGCTCCATTTCTTTGTTAATATGCTTACTTAATTTAAACAACGTTAATTAAATTTTTGAAACAAAAGCAATTTTGAACAAAAAGTTCTTGCGCTTTCCACACGTAGTGCAGTAATTACCCGCTAAATTCCATTCACCTTCAATAATACAATTACTACCACTGTTACAATTAATATAATGACAGGTTACCCACTTATGTCCCTTCTCATTACAATAATAACATTTTATACTTCTTCGGAGTGCTAAAAAAGACCCAATAGTTTTAGCAATGTGTGTTTGGAACAGAATACATACCAATTCACTTACTTTTATTATATTTGGGCTTCATTTTGCAAAAAATATTGGAAGAGTGATTTTGTGACATAACCCAATTTTTTAAAAAAATTTTGTCGTAGGTCTTTTTCTGTTTTTTTTTTAATAATTTGCTTAGTACATAGGGTTACAAATCAAAGTTGAAAAAATCAATTAGTTGATTAGTTGACAACTAATCGAAAGAATTATTACTAATGATTGAAAAATTAATTAGTGAATAGTTGCAATTAATCGATTAGAACTTAACAATTAATCGATTAGTTACAACATAGCAATTAATTGATTAATTGACAATAATTGAGCAACTAATTTGTAACCATATATATTAATAAAATTTACAAATTCAATTGAAGAACGAGTACTGAATATAAATAAAAAAAATTATTTAATTATCCTATACAAAAAATACTTTCAATAAGAAGCAAGAAAGAATTGAATCTCATTTCACGTGATATTAATTTATAGTATTCAATGAAATTCTGTACTAGTATAATACTGTATTTTCACAAATAACGCGGCTAGTGAATTTTGGCCTAAATTAAAAATAACGTCCATGCGCATTATCTTCAAGATCCTTATTTTATACAATACAGTACTGGTTTAACGTAAATTGTGGATGCCCTCCTAATTTTATAAATTTCTGATTTTTGTTAGTTTTTTTTTAATTCACAGCCCTCAACGAGTTGAGTTTATATGCCTGCTTTATAAATGTAACCTTAAAGAAGCAAAAATATTAGCAGAGGCAGTTGATAAAAATACATCATTATTTTTACTAAAAATTGTTCTTCCAATCATTAACGTCTTGTTTTTTTTTTTTTTTTTTTTGAATATCTAATTTTAGTAATAATTTAAATCAAGTAATCGAACAGAACAGCATTAAAATAGTAGGTGTTAATTTGACTTGTAAATATTTTTATTAAAAGTAGAGATTTATAGTTTTTCTTTTCATGTAAAAAAATAATCTGGGTATTAATTTTTATTTTGAATAATAAAAAATTATAATCTCAAAAAAAAAACAAAATATAAATTACTTTCATTAAAAAAACACATTTAATTCTCGCTACACTAGGACTAATCTCAAAAAAATAAATTTAAGTTACACACAAAATTCTGTCGCTAAAAATAAATCATTAAAAAAGGTGTTTCAAAAACTAAAAATCAATTTCGAAGCACCTTTAATTCATATTATAACGTAACATTAAAGCAGTGTCTGAAATTCAATTTTAAATTAATTGTGGGCTGCAACTAAATAAAAAAAAATAGTTGCGGATTATAAGAATTTAAAAAAATATAGTTGTGCGTATAAGCATTTAATCAAACTTTATAAGTAAAATTTGCAAATTTATGTGCGGAATTTGCATATGCACTTCAGGTTTTGGTTGCGGAAATTTAAAATTTGTTGCAGTCCGCAGACTCCGCAACCCAATTTCAGACACTGTATTAAAGTGTTAATTAGTACTGGCTACAACAATGCTCGTGATTTTTGTTGAAAATCGAGTTGTTGCGCTTGGATGAAGTTTGTGATTTCTAAAAGTTGCCTTTTAATGTGACACACTTCTTGATAAACAATTTCTATTTTTGCTTATTTTCTACGAGAGTTTCATTCATTGACTATATGGTTTAGATTAGTAATTAGTTTATATAATCACGTTAAATAGATGTAGTCTACTTTACAACAAAATTAATACCTTAACTGCATCAACAAGATCATCTCTTAAGCTAATAATTTTTGTTAATGCTTTTCATATTTGCTTATAATAAAACAAGACTTTCTATTATATTTTACTGATGCAACTATTGGTCTAACAAATTAATTTAAAAACGATAATGGTTTGAATTGAAAGTTTCTTTTTGTAATGCGAATATTTCAATATATAAACGTAAATTAAACAAACTCTTTTATCCAATTACGCCTTTTAATTAATCTAATTGAATAAAATGCTAGTTATTGTGCTAAATGTCTTTTAATAAACAAAAAAGTCAAGAAAATTTCAGAAGAAGCAATCTGAAATGTGAACCATTTTCCATAAATTTCTCGTAATTAAACTAATAATTAGCTTATTTATATTGTAAATCATTAGTTTATTATTAGTTTATTTATAATTTAACAGCAATATCGTAAAGTCGAGAATTTTTTATTAAGCTGTTAACAATTCAATATATATAATTTTTAAATTGTATTGTCAAATAACCCTCCCTCTGTCAAACTATAAATTTTTAGGGTTCTTTATTTATATTTTTTAATATTCGGTTAGGCGGCATCCACAATTTACGTTAAACCAGTATTGTTATAGATAATACTATGGCACAGTACTAGTTTAACGTAAATTGTGGATGCCGCCCGAGATATTCTGAAAATTTTTTTTTTTCAGGTCAAATAGAAATCCAAAACTAAATTCACGTGATTTATTATTTATCGATTAAAACTATATATTCGTATATCCTTCATCCAATACAACTAATAAATAAAATTTAGAATTGACATGTGATAGCTTTGAATGCTATTGCATTAAAAAAATAGCAAACAAACCATTTCGCTGTATAAGGAATTGTGGATACACGCAAAACTAATCATGTGAAACATAAGCCAATCAACTGTTACAATTAAATATTCAATAAAATTTAAAGAAATAATTGAATTCTCTTAAACCAGTTCAAATCAGATTACTTAATTTTAATGTCGCTTAAGAACTTTTTAATATCAGATATTGTATTATTGAAATTTAATTTATTTAAACACTTAAATTAAAAGTTATGATTGATTAGAATAAAAAAAAATTAGAAATAAATAATATTTATATAGAAAATTAATTCATGAAATCCTCATTCTATAAAAACTCAATATTTCATTTCCTAACAAACCAACTTTCCGAACAATGTCTTCATTTAAGAAATCAAATGATATCTATGAAGCATATAAAATTTTTAAAGTACATGAAAATAATTTACTAATATCAGAAGATAAATTTTTAAACCACATCTGTAATCTATTTCAGTATACTAAAGAAAAAGAAAAGTTGGATGAAATCTTTCATCTATTAAAAAATTCTGAAAGTTTCAAAAGAAATATTTATATTAAATCCTTTATAATTTATTTAATGAGAACAAAATTATATAATAAAAGAAATGCTAGTAAATTAGAAATAGAAATTGCTATCTATCTTATTACAGAATCGGCGAATATTGGATGTATTTATGCTAAAAATTTTCTTGATTTTTTTTTTAATCCAAACTCTTTTAATTATATAATTAAGTATTGCATTATATAAAATTCTAAAAGAAATATAAAAGTTATTTTTAAGCAGAATTCGAATATAAATTTGGCAGAATTAGAGTGTAAATTTTGGCAGAATTAGAATATAAATTTAAATATAAATTGCCAGATTTAGAGTATGGACAGAATTAGAGTATAAATTTTAGGCTATTGTTATTGTGCAAAGATTAGACAGTAATTTCTCAACAAATTTGTACAGATCCAAAAAAAATTGCTATTTTATTTTTAATGATAGAAGCTTTTAAAACAAATCGATACCTTGATACAAATGTAGTAAATACAACACATCTTTTAATATTTAACCAAACTGTAATGAATAGTATTATTCTATTTTTCGCTCATCTAAATTTAAAAGCTCCTCAGCAAGGAAGGCCAAAACTAATGGGTTTTGGGTAGAAGTTTTCCCATATTTGACGGATAATAAAGACTATAACTCATTTCGAAAACATTTTCTTATATAATAAATATATACTTTCCGCTGGCTTGATTTTTACCGAAAAGGTTTAAAAAAAGAGTTTTTTGTTCTTTTTTTCCCTGTCACTCATTATTTTTCTCTATTTCTCGTAATATTAATATTCGCAAAAAAAAAAAAAAAAAAAAAAAATTATACTTATTGTTGCTGTAAAGCAACTTCGCTAATGACTCCATAAATTTATTCTACTGTTATTGCAACAAAAGAGATTTAAATTGGTAAAATCCTTTAGAGGAAGAGCCGATTGCGTGGAAATTTTTTTATTGGATTTTTTAGTTGTTTTAGGTGGCATAATGAAGATCAGGGAAAATAGAAAAAGAGTATCTCAAGCATTTGATTCTATTAATATCATCATTGATTGTGATGCTATAATGTATATAATTTATTAAAATAAATACTGCAATTTATTAAAAAAAAATAATAAAGAAATCGTAAAGGAGAGGAAGAGAAAACGAATTAAAGGAATCGAGTAGTGATGATTGATCGGTTAAAGCTTATGAATAATTTAATTCGAAGTTTGATTTTTCCAGGTTGAAAGACCGTCGAAAATCAAAAAAACAAATACAATCGTCGAGGCATGCCAAACCTTCGATGAAGGAGTTTTATTTTTCCATACATAGAAATAAACGCACCTGCGTGAAAAAATCACATGACGTTGTTATACATTTAAGCTCACCACTTCGATCTTCCGAAATTCACAAAAGTAAATTAAAAAGAATTTTATATTTTTTCGCATATATATTGCACCCTATAAGATCTGGTGTAATGTGAAAAACAACCAAAATAAATCAATGTTTTCGTTAGGGTGAGGTGAAAGTAAAGTGTTGGCAAGAGAAAGAGGCTTATAGTAAAATTTGGAAAGAAATTTTTTTTTTATTAATCAAAATTTCTTGTTATAATCGATTTTTGAAAAAAATAGCATTGATTCGTTTTCACGTTACACCTGATCCCACATCCTTATTGGCTGTTCATGCATTGCAATGCCTCAACATAGTCTTAAAACTATATTTGTAAAAAAATTTTTTACATTCATTAACATAAAAAGTTTATACCAAAAAATATTCAATATTTTGAATTAAAACTACAAAAGAATACAATTTGTGAATTATATATATAAAAGCCTTAATTAGATTACAAAAGCTTCTGAACTTTTGGTCACCTAGACCCTAATTTCTTAATAGTTTTAAAATATAAAGTTGACGAACTTTACTTTCATCTTTATCAGTACCAATACTATAATAATAACAGTATATTAAACGATTTCTGGCTTTTTCTCTATAAATTGATTTACTATCATAAACTTGTGAATAGTATTCGAAGACTTTCTTTTCATTTTTACTAGCACCATAACCAAATTCTAGATGCTTTGCTAACCAAAATTTTGCATCATTTGATAGGGTTGAGTAATAATTGCTGGCAATATACGAAGTCATATAATTTTCTTTTTCGTAATCTTCAATTGCTTTATTAAATAATTGTAACTCATCAATAATTTTTTTGTTTTTAACCATTATTTGGGTTTTATCAGACTCATCAGTAATTTTTTTGATTAAAATACTTTTAAATTTATATTTTCTTTTGTGCTATTACTGTACATAATAATTAAGCTAATATTAGAATTTCATATAAATTTCCAATTAATAAAATTTTTACAATTTCAAAAGATTAAAAAAAAAATTATTTAATAAATAAATTAAAATTTCAAATTGTGCTAAATTAAAAATACGTAATTATGCAATTATTTTATATAGAATTCATAAAAAAACAACTCGAGTTAGATTGTTCTGACAGAAGTATTGTGAAATTTATTAAAAAGAATATGAAATTAAGCAGAGACCGTTAATGTTAAACATTAAAACTGGTGAGGATTATATCCATCACAATCGAAATAATTTAATTTGTGATTAATCACAAACTCTGTTAAATATATTAAAAAATTAATGATTACTAATCATTAGCTAAGCTTATTTTTTATATTTCCCACCTATTCTATAGAACATCCCCAGTGACATAGAGCTTCCTCTTTAAATGTAAAAAAAAAAGTTTACAAAATTCTGATTTTGAGAAAATTGATGTTTTTTGTCATTTAAACATTGTTTATATTTTTTATTTATCATTATCGTTATTAGGTTACATTGTTGTTAATACCAAATACGAAAATGGTTATTATCTATTCGCCATTGATCAAACTAAAATAAACTAGTAATACTTTACTATTTTTGTTTACAAATGTTAAGATTTTTATATCTTGTTAATGTATTACATCCTGAGATATATCTATGCTCTAGACAGATTAGTCACTGAGAATGATATTTTAATGTAGAGTTCTTACCCGGGTCAGAAAACACAGGTCATATATTGACCGGCTTATAATCGGGTCATATGGAAATCAAGGTTAACCCTTAAAAGTTAATGTAACAATTTTATTTAGAGCTATTGGTATAGAGAGCAGCCTGTATTGCAGATACTGTATTTAAATAGAACTTTTCGGATTTTGTATTAAAAATTTCTTGACTTTGCTCGTAATTTGAGTTCGTTCATTTTCTATATTATTAACTTATGCCAATGGTCATAAATAACCTCCATATTAAAAATTTAGGTTAGGTTGCAACTTCAAGATAATTTTTTTTTATACAGCACTTACGGTGAATAACATTTTAATTTTGCCAAATTTTATCAAATTATTTTGCCCAAGTTGTATTCTGCTCAAATTACTTCAATACTAAACCCATTAATATTAAAACTTCAGTTAATATTTATTTCTTCACAGATATAGTAAATTATTTTAAATTTAAAATTATTATGATATCACGAGATGAATTGAAAGGAGTTCTGTGAAATTTGGAAATACTTTCAACCATAACGATGCCAAATTATACTTAGCATGTGTTTGAAAATGGATTTACAATCTTATTAAATTCTTTGACAACTAATTGAATTGTTTTTTTATTATAAAAAGTGCTTTATCAGACATATTCATGAATGCAGATTTTTTATAATATAAATTACAATTGAAGTCTTTAAATCGATATTTTAATCAAAATTTTAATATTAATATATTTTACCTTTAATAAAATTATATGTAAGGCATTGAATTGATTTTATAAAATTTTATTAAATATCAATTTATTTACAATTTATTCACTAAAACAATACAATTATAAATTTTTTTAAAAATAAAATGTAAATAAAATTTAATTAGCAATCTGCATAAGAACTATAGTATTATAATATGTATTTTATATAGTGATGAAATCTTTTTTTCCTTTAAACATATAAAAATTTTATATAGTTGTGAATTTTAAAATTTAAATATCCTATAATCTACTTAATTAATTTTAATAATTTTATTATATTATATATAAAAATATCTTCTCTACATTTTTATTTAGTAAGTCAAAATATATTAGCATAATAAAAAAAATATTTAGCTATAGAGAAAAAGAAGATTTCATAATATATATAAATTTAATAGTAATTTGTGCATATAGAATTCTATCCTTCTTAGACGAATTGGCAATTAATCATGTTTCAAAATTCTAACACTAATGTCTCTAGTAAAATAGATCAATTAGAAGATGTCTCATTTATTAAAATTCTAACACTAATGTCTCTAGTAAAATAGATCAATTAGAAGATGGCTCATTTATTAAAAATCAATTTAGAAACACTTATATGTCGAATGAATCAATTAGAATATTTAAGAAAAGTGGCTCATTTATCAAAAATCAATTTAGAAACATCTTTATTTCCAAAAGATGGAATAGAAGAAAGAAATGATTTAATAATGTTACCAAAAGAATGTACAGTCCAGGAAGTGAAATATTTTATTAAAACTAGAATAAAGAAAGCAATTTCAAAAGAATCACTTCAAATAAAAATAATAAAGAATTGAATGAACAATATACTTCAATTAGATGATGAGCTAAAAATAATCAAAGAATTAGAAGAAATAATCTATAAAATAAATTACAAAAAACTAAATCTAAATTATCAATTAAGCGTTATACAAGAATCAATAATTGAACTTTAAAATGTTGTTAAAGACATTAGTGTTTTCTTCTTGATTTTCTTCTTGTTGTTGTCATAACTGTGTTGACTAATTGAAAAATTTATAATAATTAAATCAGTAATAGCGGATATTTATATAATATTAAAAATTTTTATTTAAAATTTTCTTTATTGGTGCAATTTATAGCACAACATTGGGTTTTAATTAAGATATTTCAAATACAAGGAAAGTATTTTATTAGTTAAAGATAGTATTTTTTGTGTTAAAAAACTCTAATAAAGTTTTTTTCAATCTCCTTGGGATTTTTCACTTTAGTTTTCACAATAAAATTTCATATTGAATTCCCGTAAATGTTATTTTTAAGAAAATTAAACAATTACTACATTTTTGAGGAAAAAGGTTATATTAGTTCTTCATCTGATTTAAAATTTTCAATCAGTATTTCTTTATAAAAGACTATATCAAGGTTATAAGTCATAAAAATTGACTTCTGTTATCAGCTTATCTATATTAAAATAAATTGTGATAAAAAGTGAATTAACATTTACATAAAAATTTAAAATGCAATCATAGAATCCGAAACATATTCTCAATTGCACTCAATTCTAAACTATTATCATTGCATTCGATATATCTGTCAATTGTGTTATGCCATGCACTTTTTAATATTGTGTTCTAAATAGTCTAATTTTGCAAAAATAAAGTTTTTACAAAAAAAATTTTTTTTGAGTATCATCACCTTTTGCTGTGGAGCCCCCCAAATTGAGTTTTTTTTTTTTTGAGTTTATACGTATAAAGCAACCTAATTCCACCAAAGTTATGTTTACTTGAATTACGAATTTATTCAGGCAAAATTGTTTACAGGAGCAACGAATTAAAATTATATTTACCAGAGTTACGAATTCTACCAAAATTATCTTTACTATTATTATGTTTATTACCAGAGCCTTTATTATAATTACAATTTAATAGAGAATCAAATTTTTTTTCAGTCTTATTATTTCGCTAATTTATACCATAATTTTGCTTTAATTTATATTTCAATTTACCTAGAATTATATCTGGAATTTTACTTTGCAATTGTACCTAAAAAAATGCTAATAAAATTACTTTATCTCCAGATGCCAATTATTTTATAAAACAGGACAACAAAATTATTTCTCTCGAACAAAATTGTAAATATTTACAAGCAAAGTTGGATGGTAAAAATTTGGCTACCCGCAATAACTTGATGAAGATCGAATCAATTCCTTGTACCGGAGGGTAAGTATTATTAAATTCATACATGTTATTAAAAAACGAAGTAATTAAATTATTAATTCGCAATAAATTTCATGTAACTAGAATTAAAAAAAATCCATACCCTATATTGAAGGTCTTTTTCAGAGAATACTATTATTATCTCATTATCTGGGATAAAGAAACTATTTCAGAAAAAATTTGTTAAATCTAAAGAAAGAAATAACATACTTTTACAAAGTGGAACATGTAAATATTGATGTTATATCAATACTTGTCTATAAATTCAGTTTAAAAAAAAATATCGATGCTATCAACAAAAACATTCAAAAATAAATTTCTTTACTCAAAGCATAAAGGATATCATTAATTTCCTAAAGGATGACATTTATAATAAATATGCAACTAAGTATATTGAGGTACTACAAAGAAGAGAAGATTTTATACAGTTCATGAAAATAAATGTGGAAGAAGCTGGTGGCATTGTTAAATATTTTAGAAAGTGGCAATCCGATCTCAAACAATATGACAAAGCATTTGAATTCTTTGACTTTAAGAAAAAAAAATGAATAAAATAAGAGAACACAAACGATTATTTAATAATACTAGTGAATATGAAAAGTTAAGAGAAAAATGTACGAAACATCTTGTTAAAAAAACCTGAGAGGAAATTTGTAAAAAAGTAATGAAAAAGTTCCTAGGTAGACTTGTTGGCTATTTTGTACTAAAAATTTTAAGAAATAAAAACATTCTGTACCAACTTGATTATCTAACTAGTGTCATGAATCAATACAAAAGTTTTTTGTTAAAAAATCGATATTATTAACAGATTTATTTTTTACAAGAATTTCCTAAATGAGATACAATAACACCAGACGCACATTTGAACTTTTGAAGATCTTACCAAATTTCTATTATCATTTACCCAAATTAGTATACTAGTTAGACATTTCGATAGAATCGACCGAGTTGTTCAATAAATTTGTTGTAATAATACCTTGCCTAATGTCATATTTAATAAGTTTAAAGCTTCAATAAAGTCACAATATTTAAAATTTATTTACAAATAATATACTAGTAGATAACTGTAAAAAACAAAAAAAATTAAACAAATAAAGTTATTTGAAAAAAAATCTAATTTCCCTACCGATGCCAAGTATAACAACACGTTTTTTCATCTTTAAAAAGAATTATTTCTTCAATACCTTTTTTTTTTAATTTAAAAAATTATAACTTATTGAAAAATTTTTATATTATAGATAAAGAAGTTGACAATGAATAATTATCAATATTTTTACATTCTTGCAATCTATTAATTTAATAATATATAAAATGAAATTTAAAGAATTGGTTGATATTAACTAGCGCTAGTAATAGTATTTTAATTTATAATAAAATTTGCTAAAACAATATAGAATTTTTGTATGAAAGAAGCCACCAAAAAATGTAAACGCAGAAGAAAAGATCTGGAATGAAATGTTGGATTTTTTTTTTTTCTTAAGATTACGACGAATTTAAAAGGAAGGACCATTATACTTGATCTTATTTTTCTGTTTTCTTTTCTAAATCAATAATTTTTGTCTAAAATTTGCAACTATACATTATATTAGTGTTTTAAAATTGGCCTATCTTCAAGTTAATATATCAATAAATTATTATATTAATGTGTGAAAATCATATAAATTAGAATTGGCATATTTGGCTTGGCGTGATTAACTTTATTTGAGAAAGTTCTTTTTTTTTAATGCCTGCAAAAAATACAGAATGGAGCTATCAAAGTCACGTAACAGATGCAAAAGAAATCAAAAGACTTTGTAAACCTCCAGAAAGTGCAATCAAAGACAATGAAATAAATACAAAATAATTGTTAAACGGAAAACTTAAATTATTTGATAATAACCAAGACTATAGAGAACCGTGAATTGCAGGACCAATGGCATGAGCAAAAGCAGACAAGGTTTGAGCTACTCCATTAGCAGTACCTATTATATAATTAGGTGTAGAGTTTTGAAGCTATAAACATGAAAGTTAGCTGATGAAGTTTAAGATGAATATTCATTATTTAACGATACTTACAAATAATATGCATGAGCGATAAGAAAAAACATCCAACGTTTACTTGATCGCTAGAGCAAATATAGTAAATATTAAGACACCATTATCGGAAGGAGATAAAGTTATCGCAAGCCTGTTAATTAGAGGAAATAATAAATAGGCAGGAATATAGAGAAAACGCCCTAGTTTGTATACTTTTTCCAAGTTTTCTTTGTTAGTTGCCAAAGAATAAATTACGAAATTAGCAATGAGATTTAAAATTCCCACAGAGTTTAAGGTCAATGATAGTTTGATGTCACTAAATCCCAATCCTCCTGACATGATATCAGTAACAGAATAAATCACATAAATTTCATCAAAGGAAACGGTATAAAAACCTAGAATAACGTAACTAATTATACATATCCACGTAGTTGATGGTATGTATAAGATGGAGCGAATTAGAGAATCTGGGTTAGATGATCTTAACTCGACATTAGAATGCAAAAGAGGTTTTTGTTCAGGATTAGAAAAATGAGTTTCAGGCAGTAGAAAATATCCAACTATAAAGCCAGTGAATGGAATTAAAGCTGCGAAAGTACAAGGAAGAAAATAGGGATAGGTTTTCAAAAAAGGAAAATTTCCAAAAAGAACCGGATATTTGATAGTCGGATTTGAAAGATGGCCACCAATAGCAGGACCTGATAAGAAATATAGATAGTTAATTTAGAGGAAAGAGATGAACGTGAATGTAAAAAATATCTTACCTACTGAAAATAAAAAAACAAAACCAAATATCACGTTGGTTCTTTCTTTCTCGATTCTATAATGGAAAATATCATTTACCGAGCAAACCAAAACTCCAACAGAGCCCAGGAAGAGAAAAGGCCTCTTTTTGGTTTGTTTTGTCAGTAACTTCTGCAAGCATGCTTTTGGCTACGCCCACGTTTTCTAATGATAATATAGTGAGCGCAAAATTAAACAAAATTATAAATTATTCAATTTAACATTCAGAAGACTACACAATGCTCAAGATAAAATGGCCTATGTTAGTGATTTGCTAATGCCAAATAGAATACAACTTAGTATGCTTCCTAGTAATCCAAGCAGAAGAACTGAACGTCTGCCAACTCTGTTGGACAGCCATCTCCAAAACACGCAAAAGAAAATTTGGGGAATATAGAAAAATGAAGCTATTGAAGGATGTTATGAATTGCTTTTAATCAAATTTATGCAAACGTACAAATATATTAGGAATAATATATAGTATTACTAATCAACCCTGCATATTTGCCAATTTCTTTATCATCATCAGTAATTTTAAAATCTTTCACCTAAAATAAAGTAAAATCTTTAACTGTGAATAACTATTATTGATAAATGCAGATTACGCACTATAAAATAGACAAAAGACAATAAAATTGAATAATTAATTGGTTCGCTAATTAAAATTAAACCGAGTATAAATAATATGCTCCATGGTAAAGGTGTTCTCTCTTTGTTAATAGAGTAGTTTTGTTCAACAACTATTTCCAGTAGTTCGTGATCATCATCAATATCCATATCGATATCTATGTTAGAAATGGATAAAACTTCAAAAGACTCGACGGCCAGACAATTTATAGTTCATTTTTATTTTTGTCGCATCATTAATTTAATTATTGATCTCTTCAAACTGCGAGTATGTATTGTTTGCTATTAAATTACAATTTCGCTATTATTTTAATTAACAAATAGGATTAATTTCACGTAGTTTGGAATCATATAACTGTATTTTAATTTTAATTTTTTGCATTAAATTAAATAATTCTTAATTTGTATAAATTGATTTTAGTTTAATTTTAACGTTAACATTAATGGGCAATTTGAGAAATTGTAATTGTTTACATTTGAATTGGTCGAAAATTTAAAAAAAAAAAAAAAAAAAAAAATTTAGCGTGAGCAGATTTATGTACTGCAAAATTTAGGACACTCTAATATGGTTACATTGTTTTATTGCGCTTTGAAATAAAGTGTGACACTGATTTTTGTGATGTTAGATGGAAATTTCTGCGATTTAAAATTTCATATCAATCATATATTTCAATAAGCAATTTTATATTTATTTAAAATCTTTATTGTTATACAGTATTTGTCGTAGAATCTAAAATCTGCTATATTTCTTGTGAGTTCACATGACATCGTAATCTGCAAATGTCACACTTTATTGCAATGCAATACACATCATCAAACATATACAGTAAGTCTTTATTATTAATGAAAAGACAGCATTGGATTTGTTAGGAAAATATAAAAGTGAAAGTCGCTCAGTTGATAAAGACTTTTTATTTTACATCTTTTAATACAATGATTTCGCCTTTTTCAAAAATAACATTAGTTCCCATAATGTTGTAACAGTAAGAAATTATTATTTATATAACTGAAAAAAAATTAAAATCGATTCATCAAAATAAAATATCTAATCATAATAACCCTCTTTAATATACCAAACTCTATAGACTATACAAGATTAATTTTGATCAGCATTAAGTTAGATATTCATATGAAGGTCTCTTAAGAGATATCTTACCGTTATATTATTATGGTGCGCTTGCGGATACTCCAAAATTTAAAAATTTTAACTCATCGAGAGTGCGTCAAAAACACACACACATAATAGGAACTAGTACTTTTATTTGAATCAAAAATCTTAAGTTTGTTTACCATTAGTGTCTCAAATTAGATAACAGTATTTCGATTTAATAATAGCAACCCGTTTAATCTTAAGCAAATAAAAAATGTATTAATTTTCAAGTTCTGTAAAATGAAAAGGGCAACTTTAATTATTTATTGATAAGCTTTTTACTTCTGGATAATTCTGCTGAATCCATTTACGAAAGAACAAGGACAAATTTTTATTTTATTATTCTATTACTTTCCTGGACCAAACATGTTTGACTATAGACCATTCTTTTTTAACTTCAATAATGTAAAAGATTATTTTTTATCATATCAATATCGATATAGTTGTCTAAAAATTTAAAATTTGGTACATTACGTGATTGTGATTAATTGATCTAAGTTGTGACTGCGTCACCCATCAATTAATTGAGTTCAAAAAATTGCAACTAATTGTCTCTACAATCAATTATTCAGCAGGCCTGGATATAGTTTTTTAGTAAACGTACATACTTGTTAACATGAGATTGTACAGTATAATTTATATAGGCACAAATATTTAAAAAAAAATATTTGTCCCAAATAGTTTAGGTAAGTTATATTCGATATTTATTTTAAGGGGTTCATAGAAAATATAAAACTGACTTACGCTAACTTAACACTAACTCTAAATCGGGCTAATAATGTCAGTGAATGACCTGTCGGTAAAAAGAATGTTGGTTTTCTTGAGAGATATCTTACCGTTACATTGAATTTAAATACAAGTGTCTTATCTTCAAGTTCGAAGTGAAAAGTTGAAAAACATATAAATAAGAACCAACACTTTTATTTGAATCAAAATTTTAAATTGATTGAAAACGCAAAGGTTTGATTTATATCGCAATAAATTAATTGCGTGATGCCCTACTCTGACTTTTTTTTCGCATGGTCACTCCTTCTCTTTTCAATTTTTTTCATTATGACATGTATTCTTTTTGCCAAAAGAAATTTTAAATGCTTAATGTATGATCAATATCCGACTAACTCATAAGAAACAATTATACGATAACCTTTCACTTTTGGATGATACTTCATGGAAGAACAATTTTTTATTTTATTATTCTATCTACTTTCCTGGACTAAACAGTTGACTTTAGACGTTCTTTGTTTCAGATATTTTTAAATTCAATAATGTAAAAGAAAATTTTGTTAAGAATTTTTTTTAATTTTTTATCATATGGAGTCGACGAAGCAAACAATGGGGTTCAGAAATTTAAAGTTAGGTACATTATGTAAAATTATTTATATATTGTATTCATCCAATATACTTTTTATAAAAGTATTTAAAGATATTATTATTATTATTAAAAATATTTTACTGTTATCTCTACTGTTAAACAAGCCTATTGGTGAATTGATTGTTGGCGAAGTATCGGCGAAATGATATGGTTTACCTTAAATATTTTTGAACTCATCACAGTGTTTAGAAATAACTTTACAATGGTTAAATATATTTAAAAGAAAAATTTTGAAAATTTTCTACTAATAAAAAATTTAATTATCGACGCAAGACTAAACAATCAAAATATTTTTTGATTCTTTAATTATATTTATAAAACAATACATTCTATATTTGTCAAAATTAAAAAATTATCAAAACTAATATTCTAACCAAAAATACGAATAAGAACCAAAACATCCTAAAAGTAAAAAATTTCCCTTTTCTATTATTTGCTAGCTTATCGTTATGGAATTTTGGAGTTTAATTGCTTCAAGATCTTAGAGATTAAAAATAATACTATTTAACCGAAATAATAGAAAAGTAGGTGTCAATAAAAGATTAATTTAATTGGTAAATAAATATTCATTGTATTATAACAAGTTATTAATTTATTATAATTAAATTTTATTAAATATTTTTATTAGATAATTTTCGATCAAAAGTTTCAATATTATAAAACTTAATAAAATATAACGATAAACTAGGTTAAACGTGAAAACTATCATGAACTAAGAAAATGATAAATTTATTTTCTTAAAAAAAATATATAACTTACTTGAAAAAACTTAATTTTTTCAAACGCAGTAAAATTATTTCAATTTATTAAATAAAAGCACCTATAATTTTTTATTGAATAGAGTTATATTCAAAGTTAAATCAATTGTGATAATTATTTTTCTATAAATTTTCTTTTGCATATAGAAGAAATAGTTGGTATTCAACTCGTGTGCGCGCAACTACTCTATTCCCTAATAAATTTGCAAAATTTACCTGAAAAATTAATATCAATATAAGAGATAAAGCTTCTTTTTTTGCTGAAAGATAACTCACAACATTTAATGAATCTTAAAGACTAAACATTTATTCAGAAAATGGCAATTTATAATATACTTTCTACTCTTAAATTTACCCATTTCCTTATTCTTATCACATTTTCTTTTACTGCTTATATTTGTCAATTCTATTATAAGTATTTTACACGTCCTAATAAATTACCCGGACCATTACCTCTTCCCTTTATAGAATGTAGTTATTTGTTAACAGGTAATAGTAAACAGCTATTGATGTCACTCCAAAAAAAATATAGTGATATCTGTGAATTTTACCTTACCAGATCACGAAGAATTGTAATTTCATGCTCTAAATATGTCGAAAAAATTTTAACATCCTCAAATAAAGACACAACATTCATGCTAAGATTTCCATATTTTGAAGGACTTGATGAACTTAAAGTGTCTGGAAAAGGCATAATTTCAAATCATGATATAAATAGTTGAAAATTTAACCATCAATTCTTTGATAATGCTGTTCTAAAACAAAGTTTTAATAACGAAGCCGTAGAATGGTCTAATAGATTGACACAAGAATTAGAAAGTTATTGGAAATATCTTGGAATATTAAATTGTTCCAGTAATGAATGGTCACTTGAAACAGATATAACGAAATGGGCTCTTAGATTTGCGTATGACATAATTACAATTGTAATCACCGGTGAAAGATCTTATTCTATGGCTTCCTATGTTCATAGTTCCGTAAACTCTGATACAGTGATTAAAAACTCTGAAAGATTTATTCAAGGATTTAGAAATCACATTTCCGGATTTGTATACTTTCTATATTTTAGCCAATTTCTACGTCATCATATGCCATTCATAAAAGATCAGGTTAAAGCAACACTTAAAAATCGGGATTACTTGTTTGAAATATTAGATTCAATAATTAAGAAGAGAAGGAAAGAAATTGAAAAAATGCCAGTAGGAACTGAATTAAGGAATGATATATTGACATCTTTAATTGTTACTAATACAGAAAGAAATATAGAAAAAATTTCCAGAGATAATATCTTTAGACCAATGACAGATGTTGAAATAAGAGCTAATTTACTTGATTCTTTCCAAGGTGGTATTGACACTGTAAGTATTATTTTTGATAATTAATAATATTTGAATATTTTTATTAATTCTTTTATGTTAAAAAATTTTTAGACAGCAAATACATTCAGTTTTATAGTCTACTATGTCTGTCAACATCCTCAAGTTAAACAAAAAAATGATTGATGAAATTAACTCAATATTCTCTCCAAATTCTTTCGATCTGAAATATGATGATCTCTTAAAATTGAAATATTGTGATGCGATTATTAATGAAGTTAGCCAACTTCACCCAATTGTAATTGAACTCCAAAGATATGTTAAAAATCGTTGTGAAATAGCCGGATGTCAGTTTGAAGTTGGAACAGTGATCCATATAAATACTAATGGTATTCATACACATAAAAATCATTGGCTCAATCCTGAAATTTTTGATCCAGATCGATTTTATAACAAAAATATGAATAATAAAGTTAGGCATAAATTTTCATTATTAACGTTTGGTGGTAGTTTACGTATCTGCCCTGGAAGAAGATTAGCAATGATCGAATTAC